AAAAAAAACGTGGACGGATAGACCAGGAAGACAGAAGGATAGTCTAGAGCTTCAAACTCATCTAATATATAGATTGCTTACTAAAAAACCAAAGTTCGAGGGTCACAGAGCTTAGGTACGCGAGACGACGAACTTCGCCGCTGCAAAGTCTTGTATCGCCGACTTTTGAGAAAAAAAAACATAAAGAAGCCTGTGGAAGGAAGCGAATGAGCACATATAGTGACAGTACGTACAAACACGAGAGTCTAATAGGTTCTACTCTATGTTGTCAAGCTTTTTGGATGTTTTGCCAGTGGAAAACGAGAAAACTGGAGAGAAAAAATATGTCGAAGAAGTATTTTTTGCCTCCTCTAATTTTTTGCTTTATTGTCAAAAAATCCTTTTTCAGTCTCTTTGCCAAGTTGAAGATGACGCATACGAATTTGTAGAGCAGACTTAGAGTTTCAAAACCATATCAACCCATTCCAGATAAGGTCATTATAATTGAAAAGTAAAACAAGAAGTGCGACAGAACTTACTACGCTACCTGCTAATATTTTTACTGGATAATCTTGAAATGCAAACTTGCAACGTACTCGAAATTTGTTTGAAACTGATTTTCATAGGATGCTCGATTTCATTGAATTTCAATGTACCAATAACCAACCAAGAAACTCTAACAGCTCGTAAGCGCTTTCACGAGCTGAATACTGAAATGAAAACAAACCCTCAACTATTAATGAAGATATATGCACAATCTGTGTGCACAATGTGGATTCCAGTGGAACGGCTGTGACAAGTCTGTAAGTACACGTGGTGATGGAATTGGAATCTCTAAACACGAACTGAGTAGGAACAGGTGAGAGTTTAGAACGAAATGCTACGTCTAACTCTATTGATCATGGTAAGCCTCAAAAATTACTAGCACTGACACACGTCTAGATTTAGTCCATATTTATATCTACCGCAAAAGCACGGCTTTCAATTTTACTTGACAAGGCCTGCACGAAGAATAACATGCGGGCTTCTTTTATCCGGGAGATGGAAAAGAACGTGCTAAATAATATGGTAAGCTTGGGTTTTTGTCTGCGCTACATGTCGGCCTAAATATCTATTCAGAACTACGACTGTTCGCTCGAAGAACTGGCTCTTGAATGCTTCAAAGAACAGAGTTGTCCCGCTCTTGATGGCGTTGTTCATGTTAACTACAATGAGTACAAATTGATGAAGTTAAAAGGCAGTTGTAGTGTGGTACTCTATGCTTTATTGTAGGCCCGCCAGCTATAACGATTTTAATCTGGGAAAGCTGGTTTTTAAGAGCATCAGAAACGCAATGAAGACATGGAATAAGGACGGGACTTTCATAAAGGCAGGTCACTGAACAATATCTTGCAGCAATCAGACTCTTTTTGCAGGTAATTAAGAAAAATCGGATGGGCTGCAGTGCTATGACACATCTTGAGACATTTGAACTCTTCTGTCTTTTCCGTTGAACAGGATTACCGAAATCATTGCGACTACCTCCTAGATGAATACCCATGAAAAAAAAACGCCGAAACTGTATAAGCGACTGCATGCCGCTTTGTTGTTTTGTTCACGTCCCTTTTACTTTTCT